CTGCGATTATTATTCAATTATTTTATGAGTGGTAGTGTGATTTGCTGACTTGAGTGTTCACACAGCAAATTCTTCTAGTGAATTTTGTAGAACTAATATTACACTATGAATAATAGTTGAATTTAGATGCTATTTATTAGGTCAAATGCCAGTCTCGTTCGAAATATCAGGGTGCATTTTTGGTAAATCAAAGGGTAGGTATCACTAGGCAGTTTAAAATAGATTATGCTGTCATCAGATTTCATTCTTAACCTCTCGCTATTTGGTACAAGGAACAACTCCGAAGTTCTGAGTATTTATTTTCCATATATGTGAACAATAAACGATTGTAGCTGTTAGCAAATAAAATTCATGTGTCAAACGTTAATTTAGTGCGTGAATGTGGCGCAGCCTTTATACAGGTTCCACTACACTAATGCAGAATCGCTTACTCACTGAGCCGGGCCGTAACTGAAGAGACATAGCAGAGACATGTGACAGCTGTGATTGGATGAAATAGTGTAAGATATTTAGGTTTTTTTAAAGCACATCCATCCAGTCATTAAAACTGACCATAATTTTAAGTATTTAGTGCTGTCAAGAAATTGTGTTTTATTGTAGTTTAAAGGCCAGACTGTACCCATGTGTACATGGAATGGCTGTTGATAGCCTGGATAATTTTTAACGTGAATGGGGCGCAGCCTAGAATGAATGTATACTCAGGGGGTCAGCTTCCGTCATTAAGTGTCTGACCGGATACAGAAATAGTAAGCAGTTGAGGACTGGTGGTCACTGAATATCTCAAGTAGGGTGAAGAATTCAAGTGGTTGTACAAGTAGCTATACAGTGACAAATGTCAAATTACGTGATCAACTCTTCTTTTATGTCATACTGGTGTAAAGGTCATGTGACTGATAATAGTATGTTCTGTATAAACAGGTGGAGACCCCCCTTGAATTGGGCGTATCAAGGTATTCACTGTATTCAGTGAAATAGGGTTGTTTATCAGCAATAGAATAAAGAATTGTACAGTTGTCTACTGTCAGTCAGAAAACGGATATACATCAAGAAACAAGAGAGATATACACATTGTGTTGTTTATTAGCTCCGTTTCCATCAGCAGACATTAGGATAGGAACACTCCTAAAATATACTTAACATCTTTTGTGAATTGTCTCATTGCCCTTCCTCATTGCCCTGTCCTTTGCTTTCTGTATCACTCAATCAAGTCTTCCACCCAAGATTTAGATTTGTACAGTTTTGAAAACATGTTATGATACAGATAAGTAATAAATCGTGCATATGTCTCTTTAAAAGTGAACCAGATTAATGTCTTCATTTTGGATTCTATCATGTCTTCATTTAAACCTCTTTTCATGTACAGCTGTCGTTTCTCATCCAAAAAGTCTTTATTCAGCTCACGTGTACGTGAATACATTTGTCTTATACCTTGCTCTTCGAGATCAGCCATCTTATTTTTCCTGTTAGTTTGTGTGACATCACTTAACGATTCATCAACATCATCATTATCATCATTTTCCATTTCAGGACATTGTTTATCGTGTACATGTCTTTGTAAGTTGTGGTTATTGCTAAACACCTGTCTACAATAATCGCAATCTGGCAAAGGACGTGGGGTCCTCACAGAAAAAAGTTGTCGTCGTCTTCCTCCCACGTCCTCTTGAAGCCCACTTGGGATATCCCAGGTTGACCCACTGTAAACTTTTCGGGACACCAGTTTCTTCTGTGTTTTTGCAAATCATGCACGTCTTAAAACATGAGTCCACAGTCGTCACAAGATGGTAGTTTTTCTTCACATGTCTGCTCACACTGAAAGTCTTACTCGGACTGAATGGGACTAAGTCGCAAATGGAGAGGTGTTTGTGGTTTTAGATCTACCAATAAGTATACATAAGGTTTCTATGTATTGTCCGACTTTATTGTTCAAACACAAATCACCCCACCCCACCCCCCAACACTTACACACCCCTATATGCAACAATTGTCTTGATTGTGGAGTGCATGAAGTACAGACAGCAGAGAGGAGAGGAGTTCTTGTTTTCCTCTCAGGGAGATGAGTGTATGCTGTCCAGAAAGCACAATGCTTGTTGTCCAGAAAGCAGTGTGTTTGTTGTCCCGACCGGAAAGTGTTTTTTATCCCAACTGGAAAGTGCTTGTTGTCCAGACTGGCAAGTGCCTATTGTCCAGACTGGAAAGAGTTAGGTTATACAGTGAGGGAAGTGCGTGTTGTCCAAACTGGAAAGTGTTTGTTGTCCAGATTGGAAAGTGCTTGTTCTCCAGACTTGATAAACGCTTTTGTCCACACTTGAAAGTGTGTTTTCTTCTCCAGACAGGAATAGCTTGTTGTTCAGACAGCGGTGGGTTTCTTGTCCAGACAGGAAAGTCTTTGTTGTCCAGACAGGAAAGTGTTTGTTGTCCACACTTAAAAGTGCTTGTTGTCCAGACAGGAGTGTGCTTGTTGTCCAGACAGGAAAGTGCGTGTTGTCCAGACAGGAAAGTACATGTTGTAAAGAGAGGAAAGTGCGTGTTGTCCAAACTGTAAAGTGTTTGTTCTCCAGACAAGATGAAGCCCATTTCTGGTGTTCCCCACCGTGATGTTGCTGGAATATTGCTAAAAGCGGCGTAAAACCAAACTCAGTCAGTCAGTCCAGACAGGGAAGTGTTTGTTCTCCAGACAGGGAAGTGTTTGTACTCCAGACAGGGAAGTGTTTGTACTCCAGACAGGGAAGTGTTTGTTCTCCAGACAGGGAAGTGTTTGTTCTCCAGACAGGGAAGTGTTTGTACTCCAGACAGGGAAGTGTTTGTACTCCAGACAGGGAAGTGTTTGTACTCCAGACAGGGAAGTGTTTGTTCTCCAGACAGGGAAGTGTTTGTTCTCCAGACAGGGAAGTGTTTGTACTCCCAGACAGGGAAGTGTTTGTACTCCAGACAGGGAAGTGTTTTTTTACTCCAGACAGGGAAGTGTTTGTACTCCAGACAGGGAAGTGTTTGTACTCCAGACAGGGAAGTGTTTGTTCTCCAGACAGGGAAGTGTTTGTTCTCCAGACAGGGAAGTGTTTGTACTCCAGACAGGGAAGTGTTTGTTCTCCAGACAGGATAGTGTTTGTTCTCCAGACAGGGAAGTGTTTGTTCTCCAGACAGGGAAGTGTTTGTTCTCCAGACAGGGAAGTGTTTGTTCTCCAGACAGGGAAGTGTTTGTTCTCCAGACAGGGAAGTGTTTGTTCTCCAGACAGGGTGTTTGTTCTCCAGACAGGGAAGTGTTTGTACTCCAGACAGGATAGTGTTTGTTCTCCAGACAGGGAAGTGTTTGTTCTCCAGACAGGGAAGTGTTTGTTCTCCAGACAGGGAAGTGTTTGTTCTCCAGACAGGGAAGTGTTTGTTCTCCAGACAGGAAAGTGTTTGTTCTCCAGACAGGGAAGTGTTTGTACTCCAGACAGGGAAGTGTTTGTACTCCAGACAGGGAAGTGTTTGTACTCCAGACAGGGAAGTGTTTGTTCTCCAGACAGGGAAGTGTTTGTACTCCAGACAGGGAAGTGTTTGTTCTCCAGACAGGGAAGTGTTTGTACTCCAGACAGGGAAGTGTTTGTACTCCAGACAGGATAGTGTTTGTACTCCAGACAGGGAAGTGTTTGTTCTCCAGACAGGGAAGTGTTTGTACTCCAGACAGGGAAGTGTTTGTACTCCAGACAGGGGAAGTGTTTGTACTCCAGACAGGATAGTGTTTGTACTCCAGACAGGGAAGTGTTTGTACTCCAGACAGGGAAGTGTTTGTTCTCCAGACAGGGAAGTGTTTGTTCTCCAGACAGGGAAGTGTTTGTACTCCAGACAGGGAAGTGTTTGTACTCCAGACAGGGAAGTGTTTGTTCTCCAGACAGGGAAGTGTTTGTTCTCCAGACAGGAAAGTGTTTGTTCTCCAGACAGGGAAGTGTTTGTACTCCAGACAGGGAAGTGTTTGTACTCCAGACAGGATAGTGTTTGTACTCCAGACAGGGAAGTGTTTGTTCTCCAGACAGGGAAGTGTTTGTACTCCAGACAGGGAAGTGTTTGTACTCCAGACAGGGAAGTGTTTGTTCTCCAGACAGGGAAGTGTTTGTTCTCCAGACAGGAAAGTGTTTGTTCTCCAGACAGGATAGTGTTTGTTCTCCAGACAGGGAAGTGTTTGTACTCCAGACAGGGGAAGTGTTTGTTCTCCAGACAGGGGAAGTGTTTGTACTCCAGACAGGGGAAGTGTTTGTACTCCAGACAGGGAAGTGTTTGTTCTCCAGACAGGGAAGTGTTTGTTCTCCAGACAGGGAAGTGTTTGTTCTCCAGACAGGAAAGTGTTTGTTCTCCAGACAGGGAAGTGTTTGTTCTCCAGACAGGAAAGTGTTTGTTCTCCAGACAGGGAAGTGTTTGTTCTCCAGACAGGGAAGTGTTTGTTCTCCAGACAGGAAAGTGTTTGTTCTCCAGACAGGGAAGTGTTTGTACTCCAGACAGGAAAGTGTTTGTTCTCCAGACAGGGAAGTGTTTGTTCTCCAGACAGGGAAGTGTTTGTTCTCCAGACAGGAAAGTGTTTGTTCTCCAGACAGGGAAGTGTTTGTACTCCAGACAGGGAAGTGTTTGTACTCCAGACAGGATAGTGTTTGTTCTCCAGACAGGAAAGTGTTTGTTCTCCAGACAGGGAAGTGTTTGTACTCCAGACAGGGAAGTGTTTGTTCTCCAGACAGGAAAGTGTTTGTTCTCCAGACAGGGAAGTGTTTGTACTCCAGACAGGGAAGTGTTTGTACTCCAGACAGGATAGTGTTTGTTCTCCAGACAGGAAAGTGTTTGTTCTCCAGACAGGATAGTGTTTGTTCTCCAGACAGGGAAGTGTTTGTACTCCAGACAGGGAAGTGTTTGTTCTCCAGACAGGGAAGTGTTTGTACTCCAGACAGGGAAGTGTTTGTTCTCCAGACAGGAAAGTGTTTGTTCTCCAGACAGGAAAGTGTTTGTTCTCCAGACAGGATAGTGTGTATTTTCAGTGGATGCCATTAAGCAGGGAAAGCTGACAGAAGAGCTAGTGAGGGAACGAGTAAAGAAACTGTTCTACACCAGGATGAGACTTGGAGAGTTTGACCCTCCTTCCATGAACCCCTATTCTACATATGACCTCTCGTATGTGGAGACCAAGGCGCACAGAGACATCGCCGTGTGGGCTGCAACAAGAACATTTGTCCTCCTGAAGAATGATGGAAACTTTCTTCCTCTCAAGCAGAAGTTCGGAACCGTTGGGGTAAGTATTAGTTTCATCGTACCTGGGTTTTTTCTTTGATAGTTCTTTAAAGCTTTCTAATCAAAACAAAAATAAAACCGTGATTAACTATATACCATACATCTCCAGGTTGTTGGTACAGTCACTAACTATATACTGTACATCTCCAGGTTGTGTAGATTATGATTAACTATTCATCTCCAGGTTGTTGGTACAATCACTAACTATATACCATACATCTCCAGGTTGTTGGTACAATCACTAACTATTCATCTCCAGGTTGTTGGTACAGTCACTAACTATATACCATACATCTCCAGGTTGTTGGTACAATCACTAACTATATACTGTACATCTCCAGGTTGTTGGTACAGTCACTAACTATATACTGTACATCTCCAGGTTGTTGGTACAGTCACTAACTATATACCATACATCTCCAGGTTGTTGGTACATTCACTAACTATATACCATACATCTCCAGGTTGTTGGTACAATCACTAACTATATACCATACATCTCCAGGTTGTGTAGATTATAACTAACTATATACCATACATCTCCAGGTTGTTGGTACAATCACTAACTATATACCATACATCTCCAGGTTGTTGGTACATTCACTAACTATATACTATACATCTCCAGGTTGTTGGTACAATCACTAACTATATACTGTACATCTCCAGGTTGTTGGTACAATCACTAACTATATACCATACATCTCCAGGTTGTTGGTACAGTCACTAACTATATACCATACATCTCCAGGTTGTTGGTACAATCACTAACTATATACCATACATCTCCAGGTTGTTGGTACAATCACTAACTATATACCATACATCTCCAGGTTGTTGGTACAATCACTAACTATATACTATACATCTCCAGGTTGTTGGTACAGTCACAAAGTATATACCATACATCTCCAGGTTGTTGGTACATTCACTAACTATATACTATACATTTCCAGGTTGTTGGTACAGTCACTAACTATATACCATACATCTCCAGGTTGTTGGTACAATCACTAACTATATACCATACATCTCCAGGTTGTTGGTACAATCACTAACTATATACCATACATCTCCAGGTTGTTGGTACATTCACTAACTATATACCATACATCTCCAGGTTGTTGGTACAATCACTAGCTATATACCATACATCTCCAGGTTGTTGGTACAATCACTAACTATATACCATACATCTCCAGGTTGTTGGTACAATCACTAACTATATACCATACATCTCCAGGTTGTGTAGATTATAACTAACTATATACCATACATCTCCAGGTTGTTGGTACATTCACTAACTATATACCATACATTTCCAGGTTGTTGGTACAATCACTAACTATATCCCATACATCTCCAGGTTGTTGGTACAATCACTAACTATATACCATACATCTCCAGGTTGTTGGTACAATCACTAACTATATACTATACATCTCCAGGTTGTTGGTACAGTCACAAAGTATATACCATACATCTCCAGGTTGTTGGTACATTCACTAACTATATACTATACATCTCCAGGTTGTTGGTACAATCACTAACTATATACCATACATCTCCAGGTTGTTGGTACAGTCACTAACTATATACCATACATCTCCAGGTTGTTGGTACAATCACTAACTATATACCATACATCTCCAGGTTGTTGGTACAATGACTTACGAGGGCAACAATACCGTCGGCAACTACGCTCCCAACACCGACCCCAGGTTCATGTCGCGGACAATTGATGGGTTGAAGACGCTTGGGAACGCCGTGCAGGCTGCATCTGGCTGTAACGACAGTTTGTGTGCCATCTACGACGCCGCCGGTGTAAGAAAGGCCGTCACTGGTGTCGACGTGCTGTTCATTACGTTAGGAACAGGTAAAGTTTTCTTCCTTCTTGGTTCTCTATATGACGTATATACAGGATATTTGAGTTTATACTGTTGAAGAGGTTGATGTACAGTGTTCATTACTAACAGTTATTGTGGTAATACATAATGGTTATGAAGAAAGATGGACAGACCGTAGGGCCGCCTAATCTTGATTGGCCTCGATTAGATGGTGGTTAGCCGTAAGGATGTAATAACCTTGATCTCTGTTGATTCTTGGGTTGAGTCGTTTAATGTTGATTACCCCTAAAGGTTGCCCGTCATCTTGTAGTCTGACCGGTTGGAGTCAAGGATTTTGATGTTGTACCAAGAGATGCTATGATTCGGATAGGCTTGGACGTGATCGGAGATGGCGGTTTTAGAGTCTGTTTTCTTCACCGAAACTGGATCGATGTTCCTTTATTCTCGTGTTTAGGGGGTGGGACGTTTCACCAGCATGCGAGTCACCAACTTCACACTGAATGTGGTAGATAACTTCACACTGAATGTGGTAGACAACTTCACACTGAATGTGGTAGACAACTTCACACTGAATGTGGTAGACAACTTCACATTGAATGTGGTAGACAACTTCACACTGAATGTGTCAGACAACTTCACACTGAATGTGGTAGACAACTTCACACTGAATGTGGTAGACAACTTCACACTGAATGTGGTAGACAACTTCACATTGAATGTGGTAGACAACTTCACACTGAATGTGGTAGACATCTTCACACTGAATGTGGTAGACAACTTCACACTGAATGTGGTAGACAACTTCACACTGAATGTGGTAGACAACGCCTGAGGAATCTTCTTTGTTTCTTGTTTTGTTTACCGTTTGCTTGTAAAGTAAACTGAAATAATCTCTGGAACACAACATCTTGGCTTGCTTCGTTAGTAGTCAGAGTCGCTTTTGTCACATTTACTTAGATATCTATGCTGTGCGTTGGTCCCAGCGGCGAAATTGTGACTAAAAAGGAAGAAACATTTCGCTGCTTGACAACTACATATGTATGAAAAAGCTTTGTGAAATCCACAACTTTAGTATTTGCATGCCCGTAGTGAGTATGCTTATACCACTCCAGTGTTGTAACTATGGTAACATGCCCGTAGTCTAGTGTAGTTATACCACTCCAGTATTGCGACTATGGTAACATGCCCGTAGTCTAGTGTAGTTATACCACTCCAGTGTTGTAACTATGGTAACATGCCCGCAGTCTAGTGTAGTTATACCACTCCAGTATTGTAACTATGGTAACATGCCCGCAGTCTAGTGTAGTTATACCACTCCAGTGTTGTAACTATGGTAACATGCCCGCAGTCTAGTGTTGTTATACCACTCCAGTATTGTAACTATGGTAACATGCCCGCAGTCTAGTGTAGTTATACCACTCCAGTGTTGTAACTATGGTAACATGCCCGCAGTCTAGTGTAGTTATACCACTCCAGTGTTGTAACTATGGTAACATGCCCGCAGTCTAGTGTAGTTATACCACTCCAGTGTTGTAACTATGGTAACATGCCCGCAGTCTAGTGTAGTTATACCGCTCCAGTGTTGTAACTATGGTAACATGCCCGCAGTCTAGTGTAGTTATACCACTCCAGTATTGTAACTATGGTAACATGCCCGCAGTCTAGTGTTGTTATACCACTCCAGTGTTGTAACTATGGTAACATGCCCGCAGTCTAGTGTAGTTATACCACTCCAGTGTTGTAACTATGGTAACATGCCCGCAGTCTAGTGTAGTTATACCACTCCAGTGTTGTAACTATGGTAACATGCCCGCAGTCTAGTGTAGTTATACCACTCCAGTGTTGTAACTATGGTAACATGCCGGCAGTCTAGTGTAGTTATACCACTCCAGTATTGTGACTATGGTAACATGCCCGCAGTCTAGTGTAGTTATACCACTCCAGTGTTGTGACTATGGTAACATGACCGCATTTGAGTGTAGTTATACCACTCCAGTATTGTGACTATGGTAACATGCCGGCAGTCTAGTGTAGTTATACCACTCCAGTGTTGTAACTATGGTAACATGCCCGCAGTCTAGTGTAGTTATACCACTCCAGTATTGTGACTGTGGTAACAAGCCCGCAGTCTAGTGTAGTTATACCACTCCAGTATTGTGACTATGGTAACATGCCCGCAGTCTAGTGTAGTTATACCACTCCAGTGTTGTAACTATGGTAACATGCCCGCAGTCTAGTGTAGTTATACCACTCCAGTATTGTGACTATGGTAACATGCCCGAAGTCTAGTGTAGTTATACCACTCCAGTGTTGTGACTATGGTAACATGCCGGCAGTCTAGTGTAGTTATACCACTCCAGTGTTGTAACTATGGTAACATGCCCGCAGTCTAGTGTAGTTATACCACTCCAGTATTGTGACTATGGTAACATGCCCGCAGTCTAGTGTAGTTATACCACTCCAGTGTTGTAACTATGGTAACATGCCCGCAGTCTAGTGTAGTTATACCACTCCAGTATTGTGACTATGGTAACATGCCCGCAGTCTAGTGTAGTTATACCACTCCAGTGTTGTGACTATGGTAACATGCCGGCAGTCTAGTGTAGTTATACCACTCCAGTGTTGTAACTATGGTAACATGCCCGCAGTCTAGTGTAGTTATACCGCTCCAGTATTGTGACTATGGTAACATGCCCGCAGTCTAGTGTAGTTATACCACTCCAGTGTTGTAACTATGGTAACATGCCCGCAGTCTAGTGTAGTTATACCACTCCAGTATTGTGACTATGGTAACATGCCCGCAGTCTAGTGTAGTTATACCTCTCCAGTATTGCGACTATGGTAACATGCCGGCAGTCTAGTGTAGTTATACCACTCCAGTGTTGTAACTATGGTAACATGCCCGCAGTCTAGTGTAGTTATACCACTCCAGTATTGCGACTATGGTAACATGCCGGCAGTCTAGTGTAGTTATACCACTCCAGCATTGTGACTATGGTAACATGCCCGCAGTCTAGTGTAGTTATACCACTCCAGTGTTGTAACTATGGTAACATGCCCGCAGTCTAGTGTAGTTATACCACTCCAGTATTGCGACTATGGTAACATGCCGGCAGTCTAGTGTAGTTATACCACTCCAGCGTTGTGACTATGGTAACATGCCGGCAGTCTAGTGTAGTTATACCACTCCAGTGTTGTAACTATGGTAACATGCCCGCAGTCTAGTGTAGTTATACCACTCCAGTATTGTGACTATGGTAACATGCCCGCAGTCTAGTGTAGTTATACCACTCCAGTGTTGTAACTATGGTAACATGCCCGCAGTCTAGTGTAGTTATACCACTCCAGTATTGTGACTATGGTAACATGCCCGCAGTCTAGTGTAGTTATACCACTCCAGTATTGCGACTATGGTAACATGCCGGAAGTCTAGTGTAGTTATACCACTCCAGTGTTGTGACTATGGTAACATGCCCGCAGTCTAGTGTAGTTATACCACTCCAGTATTGCGACTATGGTAACATGCCGGCAGTCTAGTGTAGTTATACCACTCCAGCGTTGTGACTATGGTAACATGCCCGCAGTCTAGTGTAGTTATACCACTCCAGTGTTGTAACTATGGTAACATGCCCGCAGTCTAGTGTAGTTATACCACTCCAGTATTGTGACTATGGTAACATGCCCGCAGTCTAGTGTAGTTATACCACTCCAGTATTGCGACTATGGTAACATGCCGGCAGTCTAGTGTAGTTATACCACTCCAGTATTGTGACTATGGTAACATGCCCGCAGTCTAGTGTAGTTATACCACTCCAGTATTGCGACTATGGTAACATGCCGGCAGTCTAGTGTAGTTATACCACTCCAGTATTGTGACTATGGTAACATGCCGGCAGTCTAGTGTAGTTATACCACTCCAGTATTGTGACTATGGTAACATGCCTGCAGTCTAGTGTAGTTATACCACTCCAGTATTGTGACTATGGTAACATGCCCGCAGTCTAGTGTAGTTATACCACTCCAGTGTTGTGACTATGGTAACATGCCCGTAGTCTAGTGTACTTATACCACTCCAGTGTTGTGACTATTGCAACAAGCCCGCAGTCTAGTGTAGTTAAACCATTCCAGCGTTGTGACTATGATAACATGCCCGCAGTCTAGTGTAGTTACACCACTCCAGTGTTGTGACTATGGTAACATGACCGCAGTTGAGTGTAGTTATACCACTCCAGTTTTGTGACTATGGTAACATGCCCGCAGTCTACTGTAGTTACACCGCTCCAGCTTTGTGACTATGGTAACATGTCCGCAGTCTAGTGTAGTTATACTACTTCAGCGTTGTGACCATGGTAACATGCCCGCAGTCTAGTGTAGTTATACCACTCCAGTGTTGTGACTATGGTAACATGCCCGTAGTCTAGTGTACTTATACCACTCCAGTGTTGTGACTATTGCAACAAGCCCGCAGTCTAGTGTAGTTAAACCATTCCAGCGTTGTGACTATGATAACATGCCCGCAGTCTAGTGTAGTTACACCACTCCAGTGTTGTGACTATGGTAACATGACCGCAGTTGAGTGTAGTTATACCACTCCAGTTTTGTGACTATGGTAACATGCCCGCAGTCTACTGTAGTTACACCGCTCCAGCTTTGTGACTATGGTAACATGTCCGCAGTCTAGTGTAGTTATACTACTTCAGCGTTGTGACCATGGTAACATGCCCGCAGTCTAGTGTTGTTATACCACTCCAGTGCTGTGACTATGGTCACATTCTTACGGTTTAGTGTAGTTATACCACTCCAGCGTTGTGACTATGGTAACATGTCCGTAGTCTAGTGTAGTTATACCACTTAAGTGTTGTGACTATGGTAACATGCCCGTAGTCTAGTGTAGTTATACCGCTCCAGCGTTGTGACCATGGTAACATGCCCGCAGTCTAGTGTTGTTATACCACTCCAGTGCTGTGACTGTGGTAACATCCTTACGGTCTAGTGTAGTTATACCACTTAAGTGTTGTGACTATAGTAA